GTGAAACATGCATCGATCAGGATGTTGTTGAACATTGCTGCTCAAGAAAACTTGGAAGTCGAGCAGATGGACGTCACCACAGCTTTTCTGAATGGAGATCTACATGAGGAGGTCTTTATCTCGCAACCAGAGGGCTTTGTTGTTCCAGGGAAGGAACATTTAGTGTGCCGGTTGAAGAAGGCTTTATATGGCCTTAAACAAGCACCCAGGGCCTAGTACGAGAAAATGGACGCTTATCTCTTGGGTTTGGGGTTCTCCAAGACTTCAGCTGACAGTAACATGTACTTGAAGCGAGTGGGAGAATTTCGAGCCATGATAGCTCTCTATGTGGATGACTGCATCCTTTTCTCAAGTGAAGGTGCTACCATGAAGCAGTTGAAGCTGGATTTGGGGTGCCGATTCAAGATGGTTGACATGGGACCTCTTCACTACTGCCTTGGCATTCAGATCTTCCGAGACAGGAGGAAGGGAGTGATTCAGATGTCTCAGAAGAAGTACATTCTGGACGTGCTTCAGAGGTTTCAACTCAGTGAGCTGAACCCAGCAACCACACCTATGGAGGTTGGTCTAAAACTCTCACAGGATATGTCACCGACAACACCAGCTGAACAGGAACATATGAAGCGGATCCCATATAGGCAGATGGTGGGAAGCTTAGTGTACCTGATGGTGTGTACGAGGCCAGACATAGCCTATGCAGTGGGAGCAGTTTCACAGCACTTGGAAAATCCTAGCTACCAGCACTGGTTAGCAGTAAAGCGGATTTTCAGATACTTGAAGGGGACTGCCAACTATGGTCTTGTTTACAAGCAGCAGCCTAGGGGTATTCAGCTCGTTGGATACTCAGATGCTGATTGGGCTGGTGAAGTTGACAAGAGGAAGTCCACTTCAGGCTATATGTTCAGCCTTGGTAGTGGAGCAGTTACTTGGTGCAGTAAAAGGCAGCCAACAATTGCACTATCAAGCACCGAAGCTGAGTACGTGGCCACTACCTTAGCAGCCAAAGAGTGTGTTTGGCTGAGGCAACTATTGAGTGGAGTATATTATCCACAGAAGACTCCAACGATTATCTTCTGTGATAATCAGGGAGCAATTGCCTTGACGAAGAACCCGAAGTATCACGGACGTACCAAGCAGATACAGGTACAGTTTCATTTTATTCGTGAGCAGGTTGCCATGGAGACAATGGAGCTAGTGTATTGTGTGACGGGAGATCAGGTGGCAGATGTTTTCACAAAAGCTCTGCCCCTAGCTGCATTCTCCAAGCATGTCCAAGCTCTTGGTGTGCAGTTGCTTGAGGCTGATCCCAGCTTAGCTCGAGTGGGAGTGTTGAGGACTTAAGCCGCAATCTCAAGCTGGGATGCCACGTCAGCAGAAGGGACACATCCGTTTAGGTTCTGTAGGTGATCACGCCCGACACATTCTGTTCTTGATCCGTCTTCCGCAATAAAGGTGGACCCAGCATGGAGCGCTGCTGCGCTCACAAGGCTGGGTGTCCCCATTTCATAACACGCCTCAATTTGGAAACGTCAAGGTGGGAAGCTTCAGACAAAAAGCAACTTTGTTGATCTTCTCGACCACCAAGAATGGACCAAAGAACCAGATGAAGTTTGGACAGCTCTCCTTCCTAAGGTGTATCTCTGAGAATGGAAATGAACATAGATGTAGTCCCCAACCTCTAAAGTCCAAGAAGACCCGTGGTTATCCAACTTAGTTGTATATATGAACTAATATTTCATGGCTTATTTTCTCACAGATTAATTTTTATATTCAAAATGGAAAACTATATAATTTTATACCACTACTAGAAAGCAAGCATGAACAGCAAATGCCAAATATGCCAAATAATACACATTTAAAAGGAGGTTTATTGGTTATGGACTTTTATGTATTAAGTTGTGACTATTGTAAGGCTTTCTAGGTCACATTTACACCAACAGAAGCAAGACATTTTGGCATAGTAGCAAAACAACCAAGTAGTCCAAAAAGTTTATTTCTTTTTAATCCAAAGTTCATAAAAACTATATATCCAAGACCAAACAAAATAAGTGATGTTTAATAGAAGACTACTCTTGTTATGTATGAGCCCCCTAAAATAATAGATGAGGCATATAAAGTAATAGACCACATAGAACCTCTTGTTGTGGCTATAATGAAAAAACATTTAGTCAGATTAGAAGGAAGCAATAGAAATGATTAGAAAATCTAGTGTGCAATAAAATTTCATTTATATAAAACACAAATCCTGAAGGCTGAAAATGGAGTTGAAATTGTGCCACACAAGCACAACTCGATAAGTTGAGAGTGACAATTTGCATCAACTTTGCCAGGCCCTTCCCTAGTTCCAGATGATCCCACTCTTGCTCAATGCAGGCATGCTGCAATTCAAGGGCAAGTACTGCTGGTGATTCCAGCCAAACTAGACAATGTTCTACTCTTGCTCCTAGACAATTTTCTTGCGCTGTAACTTCCCCTGACAAGCAACATTGAAAACGTCGGTTGGACATGTCCTTCTTTGAGATGCCGGGCAACTTCAGCTTCAGGGACTTCAAGCACGACGCTGCCTGGGAGCTCGAGTAAGATATATAGGCCATTTGTCTTCGTCAGTCATCGCTCTCATTCTTTCAATCTGTTGCATAGATAGAAGCTTCCTGCTGCTCATGTATATGGATGACTCGCCATATGGCGTGACGATGTAAGAGACACTGTCTTTCTCGCGTTAACCCAGGCAATGAGTGCTATCTGTCAGGTAGGAATTCCAATAAAGAAGCTGGGACCGATGATGCGGTAATTAATCTTGCTTTGATCCATCCGTTCTGATATTGTATTTGCGCCTACCATGATCTTGGAAATTTCTTGGAGTTTTAAAACCGTTAAGCAAAAGAATACCGATACTGGTCTTGGCCTCGAGCGCATGGCAAAAATACTGCAAAAGGTAGATATCGTTCTTCCTCCTTTTACATTTCCACCTTCCTCTCATCATGTTTTCTCGTGCCAAATAACTGCGAAATAGATCTCATCTATCCTATCATCCAACGTGCTTCTGAGCTGGCTGGAGAATTATACAGCTGCTGACGGGACTAAAGCTTACCTCAAGGTAAGTCCAACATCTTGCTCGATCCCGGCCTAAAGTTTTTGTGCGATACAGGTTATTGGTGATCACTCGCGAGCTGGAGTGACACGATAACTACGGGAAATCATCGTGGAAATCACCGGGAGAGAATGCTGTCCAAGTTGACATGGCAGGCTTTGAGACCGAAATGGAGTATCAGAGAAGGCAATCTCAGGAAGCTCACAACGTGTTTAGTCTGTCAGCTGGAGGGACAGCCACCGAGTTACATCCTTGGCTGAGAGCATGAACACGTCTTTCCCGGCTTGGCGCTTCCATCTCTTCTGCATGCAGCCCAGCTTCTGAGAAAGGAGCTTCTCTCCTCTTTCCCGTGTTTGAACAAATTGTAGCTTTTCAGCGTGATCTATCATAGCACATACTTGTCTCTGCAACTTGTCAAAAACTGTATAAAATTTGGTGCTTTGTACAATGCTCACTTGAGAAGCTGCACTTTTTGCAATTGATCTACAACACCCTTGGACTTCTCTCCTTTCTCAGTTCTGTCTGACACTGAGTATATCAAGAATAAAAGACCGGACTGTATACACTACAGTTACCACCCACCCGACCTTCCATAGCTGCGGACGCACAGAATATTCGAGGACACAGCATTGCGCCATCTGTTCATATGTCCAAAAAGGTAGAGCTTGTTGGCGAGAGCAACGAATCCTCCGCATGTCTGGCAGAGGAAGAAACGCTTTCTTTGCTACTGGGCTCCCAGTAGCGCCAAGAAAGGAAGGATGATTCTCAACTGGCAGAAATTTGACACGTCCATCTTTCTCAATGACAATGAAAGATGACGATGATCTTGTTACAGTGAAAGGAGAGAAGCCCAAGGGTGTTGTAGATCAATTGCAAAATATGCAGCTTCTCAAGTGAGCATGGTACAAGGCATCCAATTTTATACAGTTTTTGACAAGCTGCAGAGACAAGTATGTGATCAAACACCATGATCAAAGCCTCTCCCCTGAGCCACAGTATTTCCTTGTCCAATCCCTGTGTGGAGCGCTCATCCTTGAACTTGGCACAGGAGACCAGCTTCCTCCACCTTTGCCCTCATCGTCATCCAGGCCAGGGATAACCAAGCTTCCATGCACCAACGTGGCTAGAACCATTGCAGCAAGGATGCGATCACAGGGAAGCGCAGCGGGCACGAGCTCATCCGGGCGAGCAAGCCACATTGCAATGCCCATTTTGGGCATCTTGACTAGGCGATCAAGGTCTTCCATTGGATCCAGGATCCGAATTCCTTCTCCTGGAACATCATCTTACGAGTCCTTCACAGAGACAATTGCATGATGATGCGAGGAGTCCCTTCATTTCTCTCGACAAGAGGTGGTAACTGGGCGAAAATGGTGAGCGCATATGCCAGGATTGGGCATCGTGACGACGCACAAATGACGAGAATGCTGCAACGAGGTCGCTCGCATAACGCTTGTTCTTCGATGTCCCGCCTGGGATCTAGTCGCCATGATCATCGAAGGTGGTCTTTGGGGGCCGAGACATCCATCATTTACCATGCTTCTTGAACGAGCAATGGATACCAGATTCTCAGACTGTCTCCAGTCGGCCGGCCTTCTCTTTCTTATGCATCGTTCTTGTTTTCTTCTTCTTTCCATTCTATCGATCTGATCGTTCTCTCGTCTCCCAGCTAAATCCTTTGACAAAGGAAAGCAAGAGGCTCCTGGATTTGGACGTGAGCTTCAGTGAGATCGCCTACTCGGGTGTGGATCAAGTTTCCTCAGCATTTCGTTGTTTAACGGACACAATTTTTCTCTCTTCTAAACAACGAAAGAGATTGGCCAAGGATAGAGCACTTCTTCTCCTTAAGCTACTGATTCTTTTTTCTGCTCGAAAAGACAGCGCCCTGTGAAGTGCTGTCGGGGTTTTCATGAATCCACTGGAAGAGATTAAACTTTTGAAGATGCTCGCCAGTCCAGATCTCCTAGAACAAGGTAAGCGCATCCATCTTAGCATTGTATCGTCCGGAGTGGACATCCGTCACAACACTTATCTTGGAAACTTGCTCGTCCAAATGTATGGAAGGTGTGGTAGTATCATCGACGCCAGGGCCGTCTTCCAAGAGATTTGGACGAGGAACGTTTTCTCGTGGACGCTCATGACTGCCGCATATATCCAGAATGGGCATATGGAGCTCGCATTACGGCTCCTCCAGGAGATGGACCTGGATGGATCTAGCCGACCCGACAGCTTCGTCTTTGCAAACTCGGTTCGCGCCTGTGCAGCCTTGCAAGATCTCGCCACCGCTCGAGCTCTCCACGACCGGATTTTCGCCACTGGACTGCTCCACTCGGACACACTGCTGCAAAACTCGCTTGTCAACCTCTACTCCAAGTGTGGCAGCCTTGCCGATGCCATCCGAGTGTTTGACGAGATTAGCAACAAGGATCTGGTGTCTTGGAACTCGATGCTGCGAGCTCACGTCGAGAATGGAGAGCCTCTGAAAGCTCTCAAACTCCATCAGCGGATGGAGCTGGAAGGGGTCTGGAATGAAGCTGACGATATCACTCTCCTATGCCTCGTTCAAGCCTGTGCTGATCTCGGGAGCCTGACAGTGGCACGGGAACTGGACACTCGGATCACGAGAAGCAGAGCCATGGCTGCTAAGATGGCGAACGGCCTGGTGAGCATGTATGCCAAGTGTGGGAGCCTGGAGGATGCCGAGGATGTTTTCGAGGATTTGCCGAGCAGCAGCAAGAGCGTCGTGGCCTGGACCTGTTTGATCGATGGCTATGCTCAAGCTGGTCGTGGCAAGGATGCGTTGCGAGCCTATAGGAGAATGGAACTGGAAGGAGTGAAGCCCGACACTGTTGCGTTCGTCGCTGTTCTTGGCGGCTGTGATCTTTCGTCCGATATCAGGAAGATCCACAGCTCTGTCCAGGAAGCCGGACTGGAAATGACGATTGGTGTTGCAACAGCTCTTACAAATGCCTATGGTAGATGTCACGAAGTTGATGCTGCGAGGAAGATCTTTGACGCGATGCCGGAGAAGAACGTAGTCACTTGGAACTCCATGGTTGCGGCCTACTCCCAGCACGGGCTGTGTGATACAGCCATTGAGCTCTTTCGAGTGTTGCACTTGGAAGGCCTCAAACCCAGTGCCCTCACCTTTGTAAACGCGCTGGGTGCTTGCGGGGACGATGCAGCCGCTGTCCAAGAGATTTTATCACAAGTTCTCGAGATGAAAGTCACCATTCCTCCCCTTCTCGAGAATTCGTTGGTCGGAGCTCTAGCTAGGTGTGGGAGATTGCTGCATGACGACATCGTAAATAATCTGATCGTCCCCGAAAAACGAGACGTGGTGTCTTGGACTTGTTTGCTTGGAGCATACAGCCAGCACGGTCTCGGAGACGAAGCCATGCAGACATTTTGCTGGATGAGCTTGCAAGGCGTGAGGCCGAACGCGATCACCTTCGTCCACATTATCAATGCATGTCGCTCGGAGAAAGAACTTAAGCAAATTCACGAGCTGCTGGAATCAAGCTCTTGTCTTAATGTCGATGATCATCTCCAAGTTGCGAATGCTCTGGTAAACTCGTATTCTTCATTCAGATGCCTGTGTAGCGGCCGGAATGTCTTTGACAAGCTCTCGAGCTCCAAGAACAGCGAGCATCTGTGGACGAGTATGATGTCGAGTTACACCCGACATAGCTTTGCTGGCGAGGCCTTGAATCTCCACTGGCAGATGAACGTGCTTGGAGTCGTCCCGGACGAGTTCACGTACTTGAGCGTGCTCGGTGCGTGTTCGAGCCTCAGAAACGTTGAACAAGGCCGAGAAACGCATGCGAGGATTCTGGAACGCAGTCTTGAAACAAACATGAGTCTAGCCTGTGCTCTGGTGACAATGTATGGCGAGTGTGGATGCCTCGAGAGTGCCAAGGCCATCTTCGACGGCATGGCGAGCACAAGAGACGTGGTTGCCTGGACAAGCATGATCGGAGCGAGCTCTCGTTGCAAAGATGGAAGACGAACAGTGGAGTTGTTTCGAGAGATGAGCCTAGCAGGAGTAAATCCAAATGAGGTATCTCTCACCTGTCTTCTCAATGCGTGCAGCCATCTCGGGATGATGGACGAAGCCAAGAGCTACTTCTCGTCCATGGCCCAAGACTACAGCATCTCCGCGACCGTGGAACATTTGAGATGCTTGGTGGATCTCCTGGCGAGATCTGGGAAGCTAGACGAGGCGGAGTTTCTAGTGTTGAGCAAAGTTTCACCTGAGGATGGAAGACTGGAAAAGTCTGACGCCAGTGTAGCTCTAACCATTCTTCTCAGTGGCTGTCGAATGCACGGTGACGCTCCAACGAGTGTCCGAGCTGCAACCGCGTGCCTCAACTGGGAACCAAATGAGGCCAGCTCGTATCTGCTCGTGGCACAAATCTGTGGAGCTGCGTGAGCTTGCACCACCTAGCATACGCTTTGCCAACTTCACTGTTCTCAGACACTAATATCAGAAGAGGTTTCTGTGACTGAAGCTTTGATATTAAGTTCATTGTGAACAAACATTTCCATTTACCATGGGAAAGATAGTGACATTTCAGGCTCCATGTCAGTCCCATCTTCTTTCTTATACCCTTGAAACTTGAAGTCCCGAAAGTGACAGTCTGAGACAGTGAAGATGAGCTTGTAGTAAGGTGGTGGCACACTATCTCCGAGTGAATACCAGCAATCATATTTCTGCACCACCTCCAGGAACTAGAGTGTGGAAGGAAACTTTACAAACACCAAGACAAGTGAACATGGAGCTGTTTAAGGACTTAAGCCTCTTCATACTCTAGTGTTAAGTATCATTGTGGCCGTCTGGAGGTTTGTCCTCCTCAGCACTAACCTTGTTGGCAGTGTTATATTATTCTCCATCACACTACCCACTTATTCTTGTTTCCTGCCAAATCCTTTTTTTGTATTTGTTCTCCAATGAGGGATGAAGGCTATTGTATTTAATTAATCACATTTAGTTTAAAACAAAAGGAAACCCATAATCTTGACTTTGTATTAGCAAACACATTTTAGCCCTTTGACATGGAACCCAAAAAATTTTATGATCCAAAGAGCACATATAAGGGATCATGATATATAGGGCAATCTAGCAACTTGGAAATGGCCGAATACAAGTTGACAAAACAACCTTTGTCAAGGCTTGCCAATCCTATGGATTTCTCCTTATCGATTACATGGAATTTCTTATCCTTCAATGGCTTTCTGGGGTTTCTTGCACACTGACTTCCCAGTAATGCCTTTTGGTACTCAACGATTTCAACTCAAAAACCGGGAGTTGCTTTCCGGTGTTTCCAAATCCTTGATTGTGTAATCACCTGCAGCTTCCTGTGGACGAAAAACTTCCCAGAGAATGTGTGGGCCTCATTGGCAGAAGTCCTTGACATTTCATGTCCCTGCCTCTGGTAATTACCAAATCCTCCACAAAGATGGAACTGAACTTCAACATAAACTACAACACAAAGTATTGCATTCAGGTCGAGCTCTTTTTGTTGTAAACAAGCGGAAGGTAGTGGATGATGAAAGGATATGCTCAGATATCATCATAGTTCTATATATACTATATCAAAAGCAATATAGCCTACTTGAATCTATGAGGTGGCAAGACATGCCATGTAAACCTCTTCTTTAATATTCTCCCTTGCTCTATTAGACATGAGAGCATCATCAAAATCTCTTGCTAAAGCACAGCAGGGTCTCTCTCCCTCTCCATTCTCATCCCATCCAAGCCAGATCTAAAGCTCTCTTTGTGCTCCTTATCAGGTGACACGTTGCATAGAGGGCTCTCTCTAACAATGTATGATCCACACCTACAGAAGTAAAAGAGGAGGGAACATACCCAAGAAGATAATCTGGATATCTCCATCTCTCATAAGTTCTTTCACTCTCTTCTCTCCTTTGTAAAAATAGATCTCTCAATGCTGTGAAGATCAAGAAACTGGGAAAGCAATATGACAAGCTGATTTCCTACATCCCTGGAATGGAGCTAAAATCGCTAGACATTCTGCTCTTCATGCACGATGGAGAATTCGAGAAAGTCGGGGAAGAACAATCACAGGCTCCAGTGCTGCAAATATCAAGAATCCAATGTGACATTCGAGGTGAGCATCTTGTTCTTCACTTTGCATCATCTTCTAGTCTGATTTTCTCTCTGTGAAGTCAAACCACACAGCATCAAAGAGCTACTTTATGCGTCCTCCAAACTGAATCAGCAAACCAAGTCTATGCAACTGGTATGAGTTTGTCTGGGCCTTCAGTTTTTTACTCTTTCCCATCCTATGGCAGTTGTCAAGTTAGTGGAGCCGCCAAGAGAGTGAAGCAAAAGCAACGCACTTCCCAAAGTAGCCCAGCATCACTTGCAGCTTGGCCACGCTGTCCCATCACCACCACCAACTATGCGCCCCACCACCACTGTCAGCTGTGCCTCTCCACCACCACCACTGCTGCCAACGACTGCCACCACTGAAATTAACTACAATTTTAATCTTTGCTTTTTAATTTTCATTTGGCCACAGCTTTAGGATTATTGTTAATCCCTCACCAACTAATTATACTTAGTCTAAAACAAAGAAAAACCCATGATCTTAACTTTGTCTCAGTACACTTTAACCCTTTGACATCATCCCAGAAATGATTGTGCTCTATCTTAGAGCATCTTTTGCTCTCTTGAATAAACTATTATATTTAGTGTTTTCGGATTTTCACTTCCTTTTTTTTTTTGCTAGCTTCATGGTAGGAGTAGGCCAATTTTCTTTTTGGTGCTTCCTCTCTCCCCACTATCCAACATTTTCCACACTGGAACAAAATAACTTTTAATTTGGGAAGCCTGGTATGTTTAGCACTTATTTTTCTCCCACTCTCCATACTCACTCTTTGTTCCCATGTAATGCACAAAAAAAAAGTGGAGCGAAATTCCAAGATGAGTGAGTCTAGAGAAATCTTTTCTGTCTAGGGACTTGAGCTTCCCTATGCTCTAATGTTAATTGTTACCACAGACATCTGGAGGTTTATCCTTGTCAGCACTAGCATTGACAATGATGCCATTATTACTTTCCATCACACCATCCATTTATTCTTTGCTTCTTGCCAAAGCCCTCTCTTGTATTTCATTTCTCATGATTGATACAATGGCCTCCATCCCTTATGATGGAAAATCACCTCAATGGTCACAGCCCTAGGACTATTGCTAATCCCCCACCACACTTTCTAAAACAAAGGGAAACCTATCTTGGTCGCAAGCACACTCTGGCCTACCATCCAACCAGCTAGAGTTTTTCAATCTCCTCCATCCAAGGTTTGAGGACCTTGGATGTATATAAACACAAAGCACAAGCTTGGTCCTCTAGATCACCCACTTGCCATCCTTGGCTTGAAGAACCAATAGTGCCCAAAGTATGTCTTCCTAATCTTGGGTGATCCTACTAAGTAAAATTGCGATTTATGAACCTTCACCCCTTCATCTACATAGTAGCCACTCCCTTGGTGTTCTAAACCAGGAATGTGAAAATGAAATTGGACAGGCCCAAGTCCTCCTTAACCAGTTTCACCCATTGAACTACCTATACTGATTCTTGTGTGTGTTAGCTTAGATTCTGAAAAGGAAATCAATGTCAAATGGAGCCACAATGGAAGCAACTTTTAGCCAGGGAAACTGGCATGAGGACATGCTTGCTTCACATAGCACTAGAAGCCCTTGGTCATGCTAGCTCCCCTATTAATGCCAGGACCAAGGGAACCATGTTGATCAAGCTTTTATAGTTGCAAAAGTGTGTAGGTGTTTGTAGAGTAAATCTTTTCTTTAGATCTATTAACATGATATCAGAGGGATAGAGCTATCAATTGATTTACTTTATTCAATTCTTGATATTAATTTCTCTTATATGAATTAAATATCCTGGATAAAAATTTAGTAAATTATAATTTATTTTTTCATGAATTGAAGGTGATAATTAAGAGCACCCCAAAACCCTAGATTATAGCTCAATTTGAACCAACATGATAACTACCAGCTCACTATAATGCTGTATCACTAGATATAGTCCTTTCCACTAGGCAAAGAATCTATTGCACAAACCATATACCATAATATTAAGAAAATAAATTAGTACTAAGTCATTGTCACAAATGTAAAAATGAGTATCAAAAGTGACCTATAGCCACAACAGTAAGATGTTAATATTGCTATACCCTTTATCAATCTCTGCCTAAGTTAATTGAGAAGTTGGTCAATATATATGCACTTAGACATGAAAGACACTAAGGAAAGAAATTCTAAGTTAGTGTTGGGAACTCTCATGATATTAAGCTTAGTCTCTCAACATTTATTATGTGATATCTTACCATGTCCACCAATACACTTTTGTTATCATGCTTTATATATTAGGTGTCTTATTGGCTATTTATTGAAAGTGTGCAAATTTGCTAGCTAGACATATCTATAGAATGTAGAAATTGTCTTAAATATGATAGTATTATTTTTGTGCCTAGATTCATAATTTAATACAATTCCATATGTAATAAATTTTTGTGATTACGGGTTTTGGTGAAAGTCTAAAGCATGCTTTGCAGGGAAGGGGTTCGAGGGTTTCAAATGTATAGTAGGGATAGAGCATTTAGTTTCCCAATGCTAAGATTAGCATGTAAAACAAAATCAAATAGAGTTTAGTGCCATTTTAACTTAATGCAAGGATACTAGGTAGTATGATATGAAGCTTGGGGTTAGACAAAAGCCAAACTCAAAAGAAAAATGGATATGCCTAGTGGGGAGCCATAAAATATCTTTGGTTAGTACTTGACTATTCTAATGTCATTTAGTGCTCTTGCTCCTTCACTCTTTAATTGTATGCTTGGGAGTTGTTTTGTATTTTAATTCCTTCACTCTTTGGTTATATGCTTTAGAATTTAGCTCTATTCCTTCATTCAATGGCTCAAAACTTTGAAACTTTCCAATCCATTGCTCTTAGCAATCGTAAAGGGTGAAAACTACATATGCTACATTTGGTATTAGAAGATACATTTCAATGATTACCATCTAATGAAATTGGGAAACTAATCTTGTTGAATACATTGAGATGGAAATAATGATTCAAGTAGGTACACATTTGATTGCCATAGCTTCATATGGATTTGGTTACTAAGTTGTACTATATTATGTGAACTTTTTCTTTGGATTTGAGATGTACTATTTGCATAAGTTTACGCTTGGGCTCATGAGTGAGGCACATTAGCAATTTAAAGTTACACTTTCAGTTGGTAGAATTAATATTAGCTCATTAGTGGTTACCATGGCTTGTTACTATATTATCATAGGTAAAAGTAAACCTCCTTTGGATTTGTTATAAATGGCAAACAGGCTAGTCTCACAACACTAGTGGGTCCTTTCTAGATATGATTTAAATGGAT